TCATGGCTATCAACAAATTGAAATACTTTATTCTTATTTCCAGATAAATCTATGATGTTTTTAGCAGAGTACATGGCAGCTGCAGGAGCTGGTGAGTGCAATCATTCTTTAAAGCACTGTCATGTATTGAGGTCTGATTCCCAGCTGCCAACATTCATATCAATTATTATGTTCTATGTAGAATCTCCACTGATTTTTTTTTAAGTGTGCTGTTGGAAACCACACAAGGCATCTATGAAATGGGTGCCAATCTATTTTTTTTACATTTTTACTTCCCCATCTACTGATTCGGTAACCTCATCTTTTCTCGTCTTGTACAATCTTTCGGCCTTCTATCTCTCCAGATGCCTCACTTCTTCTTTGTGTTAACAATCACAAACATATTAAGCTAAAACATGAAATAATGTCACGGTCTGTGTGGCAGACTGTGGGGAAGTGGGGAATGAGGACCCAAATGTTGGACTCTATATGCTGAACAGTGTGTTTATTTACAGTACAACAAATGACACTAATTCCTTATGCTCTCCCTTGACTGCCAGGTGGTGTCTTCCCCAAAAAGTCCGTGCTTTTGTGCTGTCCGCTCCCGTGTCTTCACACTCCCCATGCTCGCGGCCTTCCTGTTTCCACACTCCTCCTGGGGAAAAATACTAAAGACACAAACTATTGCTGGCATGCAATGACTGGCTTCACACTAATCTCAGACACTGAGTCTTATGCAACAATCCCACGTTGGTAGGAGCTTCCTAACACCCTTAAATAGCTCCCCCGATGAGCCTCATCAGCAGCAGGTGCGTGACATGGTCTTCAGGTGTGGCCTGAAGGTAAATGGCCTGCATTTGTATAGCGCTTTTCTAGTCCCCTAAGGACCCCAAAGTGCTTTACACTACATTCAGTCATTCACCCATTCACACACACATTCCATGGGCAGCTACACTGTAGCTATAGCTGCCCTGGGGCGCACTGACAGAGGCGAGGCTGCCGGACACTGGCGCCACCGGGCCCTCTGACCACCACCAGTAGGTAAACACGGGGTTAGTATCTTGCCCAAGGATATTTGACATGCAGCCAGGAGGCAGCCTGGGATCAAACCACCGACCTTCTGATTAGTGGCTGACCTGCTCTGCCACCTGAGCTACAGCCACCCACAAGGATACAACCACATCCGCCCACACACTCGCACACACCTGCCTATACATACAAATGTGGAACACAGAACGGCAGCACAGTGCAGCTAAAACACCTAATAAACAGTAATGATAATGAGTGTCCAGACTGCTCAAGGACCCTGGCTCCCTCAGACCCTGGGTCCCTCAGACCCTGGCTCCCTCAGACCCTGGCTCCCTCAGACCCTGGGTCCTTGACACATAAATTAATCAAATTTATTATTCCAGCAGGCTGGGGATCCACATTTGATAACAGTATGGCACACTGCTTAGTTATGTAAAACGATCATCATCAGTGAATGTAGGGAAAATAGAAGGTACACTGACTTTATAATTTCTTGCTGACTTGGACTACATGTTGACTCTTACCTGTTTCTTTTTCTCTCGCTGTCTCATCATCTCTCAGTCTTTGTGCAGTCAGCCAAAAGCTAAACATAACAGTGAAACAGAATTTACAGACTAATGAACGTTATAACAAAATTCTAATTAACTGGGAGCTGCTGCAGGTAACAATTTTAGCCTAATATAAAAAGATATTTCCAATAAGTCAAGGTTTCTTTCTGCATTTTAATTCAATGTCCATAGCTTTTTTTTTTTTTGACAATACAATTCAACCAAAATAGGAAACTATAATAGGATGATAAATTACATCTGCTTCTTGCCTGACAACTTGTGTTATACCAGTAAGATTAAGATTTTCTAATAGTCTGTAGCAGTTTAGCCTATATTAGTTATCGTATGTGCTAATTAAAAATCCTGTACTGGTCCACTGTAGTGAAGAAAGAGCTGAGCATAAAAGCAAAGCTGTTAATTTACTGGTAGAACTACATTGGCAGAAATCAGTTTTTTCTGAAGTGTAGCTGGACTCAACCTTACAGATAGAGTGACGAGTTCATTCATTTGGGAGGGACACATCAGAAAGAGCTAGTTGACATGGTTTCGCCATCTGATTAGGATGTCTGATAGACAAAGTGTTCTGGGCATGTTCTACTGGGAGGAGGCTATGGGGAAGACTGAGGGCATACTGGAGAGATTATATCTCTCGGCTTGCCGGGGAACTCCTTGAAGTTGAAACCAGTTGTGCTGGAGGAGAGTGAAGAGTGTCTCTTGCTCTCAGCTGCTGCCCCCTGCAATATAGGCCCCAATAAGCTAAATAAAATAACCGAACTACCTAACTGAGTGTGAATACGAACATTTTACACGTTGAGAATAAAAGTGGGAAAAAAAATGTCATGCGACAGAGACAGTGGCACAACTGGGGAAAAAGAAAGCTAAGCAAACATGGAGACGGGACTTACTTCCCCCAGGAAGAGACAAAGAGAACTGAAAAAACAAAAGTCATCAATAACTTACCCAGAGACACAAAATGGAGAACCAAAACAACAGTAACAAACACTTGGAACAAAACCACTCCTCAAAACCCAAAAGGATATCATGAAAGTTAAAAACAAGGGACCATGACAAATATTCTATACAAAAAAAAATGTTGTTTAAAAAAATCCATGCTATAACTTTAGTTATTTTTTCACATTGTTTCCTCACAGTCACAGATTTCCCAAATGTGAAACCACTGACACGCCGTTCCAGCTATGACTTTCTGCCACCACACCGTAAGTCTTTATAATATATATATATATATATGGAAATATATGTGCCTTATTTCAATTGCACATAAGCTTGATTTCTGTCATTCATTTCATGTCTACGGTTAAGCAAAACATCTGCATGTAAACCTGAGTTTGTCTTTTTACTTTCGTTTTTTTCTTTTCAGTGTCTGAGCTCAGGGTGGTTCTCCTGGGGAACAGCTGGGCAGTGAGGAGAGCAGTGGGGAACACGATACTAAAAAAGGACAAGTTCAGTACTGAAAAAGCACCAGACTGGTGTTTCAAAGTCAGTATACCCTTTAAGGAAAAACAAATAACTGTCATTAATACTCCAGACCTGCTGCTACCCAACACCTCTGAAGACAAACTGAGAGAAGATGTAAAACGATGTGTGAAACTCTCTGCTCCTGGTCCTCATGTGTTCCTGCTGGTTCTACAGCCTGATGATTTCACAGAGGAACAAAAACAGAAGCTCTGCAGAGTCCTTCAGCTCTTCAGTGATCACTCATTTGATCATTCATTGGTTCTGAAATCAGCTCCCAGAGAAAAGAGTTCAGGTGCCATGAAAGAAGATGTATTAAATCAACCCTTAAACGACATCATCAAAAAAAGTAAATACGGACTTTTGAATGAGAAGAACTTTGACTATTCAGAGCTGCTGACACGGATGGGTCAGATTGCAAAAGAGAACAATGGACACTTGAGCTGTGATGTATTTCAGGATCCAATGCCAGATCTGACTCCTTCTCATGAATGCCACAGCCAAGAGAATGCTAGTGTTAAATTGAAACCTTCAAAAGGTAATGATAAGTGTCATGGTCTATTTTACATACAGTAACCTGTGTGATGAGAGTGAGTGTTAACCCAATGCTTTTTTTCTTTAGTATGTGGACTCAGGATTCTGATGTTTGGAAAAAGCGAGGACAAAAAAACAACATTAGGCAACTTCATCATTGGCAGTGAGCAGTTTCAGTGTGGTACAAGAAAAAACAAGCCTTCTGAAGTTGCCAGAGGAGACTGGAGAGGAAATTCTCTGACT